GTCTTTTTTGAGACAGGGTCTCCCTGTAGCCCCAGATGGCCTGGAACTCACTATGTAGACCAGGCTGGCCTTGGACTCACAGAGATCCGCCTGCCTCTGCCTCCCGAGTGCTGAGATTAAAGGCATGCGCCACCACGCCGGGCCTTGGGGAAGCTTTCTTTATTAAATTAATTATAATTATGGAGATCCTCCCATATTCCAAATGCATAAGCTTGCTCTTAGTGCCTGGTTATACTTGGCTTTAATTTGGTAGGGAAGAATTGCGAGAAGGGCTTCCAAGCAAGACAACCAGGTAAAGTTGATCCAAAAAACTGCCACTGGAATAAACCAGAATTATAAAAATCAATTATCCATTTATCTCTGGTTTCAATTTGCGATCTCTCTGTCTCTGTCTCAGACTGGTCTCAAACTCACTATGTAGTGGAGGATGATCTTGAATTTCTGATCCTCCTGCCTCCACCCCCAAAGTGCTGAGATTACAGGTGTACAGTACCATATGCAGACAACTGAGCAGCATTTTAAAGTATAAAGAAAGAGTGGAATTTGTATGTTCTACACAAAATGGTTCACCTAAATTTTGGTGGTTCATGAATTTATTAGCCTACCCAAATACCACGTATTTTGATAAGGCATATTTACATTCTGGAGGTGGAATGTTGGGAAACAAAGTCTGCCTGGAAACAGGACTTGCTCCTAACTTTTGCACATTTTAGGGAAAAAGTATACACAAAGCATACTATTTATCTGAATATTTAGAAGTCACAAAGCAAACACATCATTAAATAAGATATTTTGTCTTCTTTCCTCCCTTAAAAATCTATAACCACAAAATTTTAAAAATGTGTGTGCTCATCCAACTGACTCCAGCTGGGGGTTTCTGGCTAGCATGACTAGTTCAGCCCATGTTGGTGACAACAGAGGCTAGGGGAACTTGTCCAGTCACTTTGACCGATAGCACCTTATTCAAGTGGCAAAAGTGAAAAATCAACAGTTTGGGGGCTGGAGAGATGGCTCAGCAGTTAAGAACACTTGTTACTCTTGGAGAAGCCTGAGGTTCTGTTTTCAGTACTGTCTTGGCAGCTCACAACCATGTGTAATTCCAGTTCCAGGGCATCATGGAGGCCAGAACACCCTCTTCTGGCCTCCATGGGCACTAAACATGCATATGGTACACACACATATATTTAGGCAAACACGCATAAATGAAAATTTGGTCTGAGAATGTATCTGTGCTTGAGTCCTTACTCAACAAAATGCAATCTGACAGCATGTAAAATGACCAAGAGTCAAGTTAGGAGCAGACTCTTAATAGCAGTCATGACAGCTGAGTAGCAGTCAGTTGCAGGCATCTGGCTGACTCACATGAGGCAAAACTGCACACTATAACTGATTAAGGTGGCTCTATATCACTTTTATCTAACTGACAAAATTTTGTGTGTGTGTGCTTGTGTGTGGTGTATGTGTGTGTATTCTTGTGTGTACACAAGAGGAAAGGTACATGTGGAAGTCAGTGGTCAATGTCAGGTGACTGACTTCATCAATTGCTTTGTGTGTGTGTGTGTGTGTGTGTGTGTGTGTGTGTGTGTATGTGTGTGTATGTGTGGTATATGCATGTGTATACATGTGTATGTTGACACGCAGTTGCCTACATACACATATGTAGCAGACACAGGTCAACGCTAAGTGTCTTCCTCTGTTGCTGTCCTCTTATTTCTTGAGACAGAGTCACTCACTGGCCTGGGAGTTGACAAGTAGGTTAGATTGGCTGACCAGAAAGCCCCTGGAATCCACCTATCTCTACCCCTAGCACTGACATTGCACACACACAACTTTGTGCCCAGATTTTTTTTTACACAGGTGCAGGGAATCCAAACTCAGGTCCTCAAGCCTGCATGCAGCAAGCCCTTTACTGACTCACTTTAACTCCTTTTTTTGTTGTTGGTGGTGGTGGTGCTGGAGATCAAACCCAGGGTATTGTGCATGCTGGACACTTTTAAAATTTTTATTTTATATACTTTGTTTTTGGTTTCTTTGAGACAGGGTCTCCCTGTAGCCACAGCTGGCCTTGAACTCACTATGTAGACCAGGCTGGCCATAAACTCACAGAGATCCACCCAGCTCTGCCTCCCAAGTACTGGGATTAAAGGCGTGTGCCACCATACCCCGATCCCTTTCTTATTTTTTGAGACAAGGTCTCCTTGTGTAGCCTGGGCTAGCCTGGAGCTCACTATGTGGACCAGGCTTACCTCAAACTCATAGAGATCTGCCTGCCTCTGCTTTCCAAGTGTTAGGGTAGCCAAGTACTCTTAACCACTGAACTATCTCTCTAGTAAAGTTTGATTATTTTTTTTCTTTTTACTTTTCTGGGAGACCATGCTTCACGTCTGATTCCCAGGACTGCATAAACCAGGAACAGTGGTGCATGCCTGTAATCTCAGCCTGTAATGGAATCAGAAGCTCAGAGTAATCCTCATTGACATAGTGAGTTTGAATCCAGCCTGGGCTACATGAGACCTTATCTTAAAAAAAAGAAAAGAAGGCCAGGTATGATAGTACATGCCTTTAATCCCAGCAGTCCGGGGGCAGAGGCAGGCGGGTCTCTGTGAGATGGAGGCCAGCCTGATCTACATAGTGAGTTCCAGGCCAGCTGGGGCTGCAGGATGACCCTGTCTCAAAAAGACAAAAAACAAAAAGAAAAGGAGCCATTGAGATGGCTCAGCAGGTGGGGCCACTTGCTGCTAAACCTGATGACCTTGTGTTCCAGCCCCAGAATCCACAGGGTGGAAGAAGAGAAACAACTCCTGCAAGTTGTCCTCTGACTTCCATACAGGTATCAAGGCATATGTGTAGACACACACACACACACACACACACACACACACACACACACACCCCAAATGTTAAAAAATGAAAAAAAAAAAGACAAAAAATGCAAATAATCACTTAAACTTAGGAAAAAGTACAATTATAAGACTGAGAGCTTCAGAAACTCAGTGAGAACATATTTTGAAATTGCTTCTGGGTTTGTTTTTTTCTTTGTTTTTCCTTGAAACAAGGTCTCTGTGTAGCCCCAGCTGGCCTGGAACTCGATATGTAAACCATGCTGGTCTCGATCTGAGATCCACTTACCTCTGCATCCTGAGTGCTGGGATTAAAGGCATGTGCTACCACACTCTGCTTTAAATTACCTCTATAAACAAACTTTATTTGCTCAATTATTTTTTTTAATTTATTTTTTTATTTTTTTATTCTATGTGTATGCATGTATTGCCTGCATGTAGGTAAGTGCACCCATGTCGTGCAATGCCAGAGGAGGACAGAGGAGGCTGTCAGACCCCCCTGGAACTGGAGTTATGGACAGTTGTTAGCTGTCATGTGGGTGCTGGGATTTGAACCTGGGTCTTCTGCAAGAACAGCCGGTGTTCTTTACTGCTGTTGCTCAATTATTTTTAGCAACAGCATTATATGACTCTACTACTCTGATTTTTTGAAAAAGAAAAAAACTTTAAAGGAAACAAATACTCGCTTCTTAAAAAAAAAAAAAAAGGCATGCCTTTAATCTCAGCACTTGGGATGCAGAGGCAGGTGGATTTCTGTGAGTTCAAGGCCAGCCTGGTCTACATAGGGAGTTCCAGGCCAACACGGCCTCCAGGGAGACCCTATCTCAAAAAAGAGCAAAAGGAAAAAATAAAGTTTCTTTATAGATGGTTCAGCAGGTAAAAGTGATTGCTACACAAACCTTATGAACTGAATTGGGATCCTGGGAACTCATACAAACACCTGACATAGTAATGAGTATCTGTAATCTCAGCACTCCTATGGTGACACAGGAGAATCCCCAGGAAAGCCTGTGGGCCAGGTCTACTGGAAAAAAGCAAAGCAGCAGCAGCAGACAAGGAAGAGCCTGCCTCACAAGGAAGGTGAGGACCAAACACTTAAGTTTGTCCTCTGACCTCCACACCCCTCTGTGGTATGTGTGCACCCTCATACACAAACAAGCATACATACATCATACAAAAAAAGGTATTACTTCAAAAGTGTGTTAACCATCATGCTCCCCCACAAGCTCTGATCATAATATTGTATTTAGGAAGAAAAAAAATTGTTTCTAATTATATGGAACACAAATTTTAATTAAAAAATATTTTTATTTTATATGTATCAGTGTTTTGCCTGCATGTATGTAAGTGCATCATGTGTGTGCAGTCCCCAATGAGGCCAGAAGTGGACAGTGGATCCCCTGGAACTGGAGACAAGTCACAGATGGTTGCTAGTTACTATGTGGGTGCTGGGAACTGAACCTGGATCCTCTGCAAGAGCAGCCAGTGCTCTT